GGATCGAGAGTCAGGGAGGGGAGGTTGCGCGGGAGCGGGATCGGAGTCGAGAAGACGAAGAAGAAGAAGAAGAAGAAGGAGAAGAAGAAGAAGAACGAAGAGAAAGAAGAAGAAAAAGATAAGAAGAAAAGAACGAAGAGAAAGAATAAGAAAAAGATAATTGGAAGAAGAAAAGGAAGAAGAAAAGAAAAAGAAAAAAAATTAAAAAAACAAAAATTGTCGTCGATTACTTATATGCGCATAGGTAGCAACGAAGATGACGAGGATGGCACGGCGTGGCGATGAGGACGACGGGCACGGCGATCGTGACGTGGCACGACGATGACGATGATGACGTGGCATGATGGCGACGATCACAACGATGATGCTGATGATGGCCAGGTGATGATGACGAAGCAGGGTGGGTCGGGCTGGTTCGAACCGCTCCGATACAAGTGTGACGAGGCAGAGACAGAGTGGCGAGGCTGAGGGAGAGAGAGAAGAGAGAGAGAGAGTGAGAGCACACACACACTCACTCGACTCAGACACGGGCTCGACTCGACATGACGGACGCTGACACGACGTGGCAAAGTCCCGAAGTCACAGAGTTGGAATCTTGGATTCCGAACACAAAGTCGCGGCAAGTCACACTGAAGCACAAGCACGGAGGCCGAAGACTGAATGCCCCAACGGGGCTCGAGTCCGGTCTTAAGTACCGGACTCAGGCTCAGTCCGGAGGGCCGAGGTGCGGCCTGCCTCAGGACTGAACTGAGGGTCGCAGGTCTGAGTCTTGGGCGCTAGAATACCGGATGGCGCCAAGTGTCGAAATTCGAAAGTGCCAAAGGAGGGATTTGAAAACGGGCGCCAACTGCAGAGGGCGCCAACAGTCAGAAACCGAAGAGCAGGAAAAAATTAAAAAAAAAAAAAATAATAATAATAAAATAACAGGCTGGCGGGTGGTACCCCGCGGACCAGGGATCGAGCCCTCACTGAGTCCGTAACAGTTCAAGTCCACGCAACCAGACAGTACACAGAGACTGTTGACATATGACTTTTGGGTCACGTCTCGGGTTCAAAGCACACGGGTTCAACAGGCACTGTACAAGGGATCAGGGTTAGGTTTAGGGATCGAGCCCTGGGATCTGTAATTGTCATGCAAACTCGATGAAACCGTTTCATTTTTTGCTCTAGAATCAATCAATCAATCAATCAATCAATCAATCAATCAATCAATCAATTAATCAATTAATAAACCATCAACCAATCACCAATCAATCAATCAACCAATCTTTTTTTCCTTTTTTTTTTTTTTTACGTTTGTTAATGTTTTTTATTTTGTTTAAATCCGAGCAAATAAAAAATTGGGGTTGTAGAGTTTTTTGTGCTCTATAACCCCCTTTTTTTTTCTTTTTTTTTCTTGCATAATTTCGGGATTCAAATGTGGCATCGTATGACAAAGTAAGAACGGTCGTTCGTACGGCCTTAGGACTGAACCCCCGTGGTAAACACAGCTCGACAATCTGCAGAATCCCCGTATTTGCAATCAGACTCGCTTTCAGTCACACTTCACATGCATGTAAACAGGTTGCGCAGCAACTGGCGACAAGCGCCCACTCAAAACTCAGAGATATGGTGATCAGAAACACATTTCAGGTACAATCTCACTTTAGATGGCTATGGCGCATCAACGTCTATACAAATCTCTGTTCGTCACTCACACAACACTGCTGTTCACACAGTGTGGACCACCTTGGATACCCCACACACATCACACTCCGTACGCTCACACACACCCGTACACATCTACAGCTATGGCGGCTATGGCCGTTGCTACCGTGTCGCTATGTCTAAGCTTCTTCTCGCCCACTTCGTCCTCGGGCTTATTGCAGACCACCTCGCACAAGTCGCTATGGCAACGCTTCTGCATGGCTTACCCAGGAATGAATGAATGGTTGGGCGCTGCCTCTTGATTTATACTTTTGTAACTCGCTGGTCTGCCCTTTTCCATCGGCCCATGATGCACACAGTCCCTCATGGTACTTGCTGGACTGGACTGGGACTGACTGGACCGGTACTGCTGACTGCATGGGTTTGCACCGCAGACTCACTGCAGTCGCACTGCCAACTTACTGAGGTTGGCTCCACCACTTGCCCACTTGCCTCTGCCTAAACGTGAGCCTACTTCGAAAGGCCACTTCCGAGACCTTCCGACAGTCTGTAGACTTGGCCTTTCGGGTACTGTAGCAGCTACGACCTTGACCTCTCAGGACTGTACCAGCTACGACCTTGACCTTTCAGGATCCCTACAGCTACGACCTCTACACCGCTGTGACTCCTACTCGACAGACCTACAGATCGAACCCCTACCACTACACAAACCTACGACATACAACAACAACTGTCAAAACACAGGTCACGGGTTCAAACACTCGGGGTCGACACAAATATTGTACACAGGTAAGGTGAGAACTAGGGATCGAGCCCTGGGATCTGCATTCGCTACTGCTAAAAGGTGAAAACCGTTTCACTCTCGCCGGCCTAAATTCGAGGTCCTCCGAGAATAACTCTGCCCAAGGCAGGACCTTTACCTTTCTTATCTCTCCTGTAGGCTCTAACTACATCGGGAGCTGTTTCTAGAAGTTCTTTTCTAGTAAACCAGCGGTCGTCCTCTGGTTCCCAATAAGCAAACCAAACCTTGTATTGCTTCTATGGACGACCTCTACCTCTTGTTCTGAACACGTCTTCACCTACAATGCCGTCAATGTCGTACCTTCCGTCCATGTCTGGAGGAATCATGGATCTTGTAGATGGAAACTGTTGACTTGTGACACACGACAACAACTTTGAGGCATGAAACACAGGGTGGGTGTGGAGGTGTGCTGGGATCTCTATTGTGTCGGACGACCCATCCTCTCCGCCCTTAACTTCCAGAACTGGCCACGGTCCTCTATATGCGGGCACTAACTTCTGCGAATCCTCTACTCGCATCGTGCGATTGTCTGCGAGGATGCTCACTATGGGGTCTGCTAACTTCTGGACTTTTAGC